CGCATGGGTCGCGTAGGCTGTAGGCAGGTCACCTAGGGCGCGTAGGTTGCCTAGGTGGGCGTAGGGAAGTCAGTAGGTCACGTAGGTGTGTAGGTCGAGTAGGCAAGACCGTAGGGCACAAAGTACCAAGAACGACGTACCAAGCACTGAGAGAGTGAGAGGGAGAGAGCGGGCCAGAGAGAGAGAGAGAGAGAGAGAGAGAGAGAGAGAGAGAGAGAGAGAGACCGCTAGGATAGGCAGGCCGTAGGTGAGGAAGGCAGAGGTGAGCGGAGGTGGAGGTGAGATGGGCAGAGGCGGATGTAAGGTGGGCGGAGGTGAGTGTAGGTGGAGGCTGGAGCGGAGGAGAACTGGCGGGGGAATGCCGAGGGAGAATTGGCAGAGGAATCCCAAGGGGTAGAGGGAGGCGGAGGGGAGGGGACCGGCGGGCGGAGGCGGAGGCGACGTGGCCCCCGAGCGGAGAAGAGGTGGGTGGAGGCAGGGAGCAGATGGTGGGTGGTGGCGGAGGGGAGGCGGGCGAAGGCGGAGAGGAGATGGAAGGAGGCGGTGGAGGGGAGGTGGGCGCTGGGCGGAGAAGAGGTGGGCGGAGGTCGAGAGGAGATGGTGGGCGGAGGCCGAGAGGAGATCGTGGGCGGTGACAGAGGGAAGGTGGCTGGAGGAGGCGGAAGGGAGGGGGGGGGCGGCGGAAGGCGGGAGCCGGTGGTGGAGTCGAGGTGGGCAGCCCGTTGGACTTCAATGCAGGGAAAGGGCCGCCCTGCAACGGGCCCTATTTCCAACGGGCGCGCCGATCCGGGCCGTCGGCGGTCCTACCGGCCCGACGGTCCGGATTTCCGTGAGATCTTAAGACTTTAAGATTGCGCGACGATCCAGGCCGTCCGGCATCGCGCGGAAATCCGGGCGGAAATCCGGACCGTCGGCCGGTAGACCTCGGTCGGCCCGGATCGGCCAAATCTTACGTACCGAATAGCGATTTTTATAAGTGTAGGGATAGACAGTATTAGACACCCTTTGGTGCGACACCATGTATAAATGTCAGTCCACCAATCAGAGCCCCCTAAACCCCCCCCCAAAAAAAAACAAAAAAAAAAAACAAAGAACCTGAAACACCGTCCAATGACCGTTCCCCTTCTCTGGTCCGATCTGCCCCCTTCTTTGGATGTACAAAGATGCTTGCCGGTGATAAGCAACCGGACTGTTGGCCCCCA